GGAGGCAGTCACTCCACAGCAATAAGTTGTACTAGATTAATGAAGGCCACTTAAATTCATCGAATGGATCAATATGTCTGGTACCAATTCTGTTACATCGTTTAAGATACATAGGTATAGACACGTGGTCTTTCACTGTGTTGTCTGTGCTGTCTCTCTTTTTCATATAATTTGATATTTGAGAATTTGCATTTATGACCTGATAGTTACGCTAATACTAATGCCTTTCTATAATACCTTAGGCCCTTGTTTTTGAGTCTGCTGGTTCCCTAAGTACTGAGAACATAATCAGCAATACCAAAACAAGTTTCTCTCAAAATATTCATCATGGCATTATTTGTAATAATAAAATGTTAGGGAAGAAAACTTATTATTAAAACACATGGATGGGGAGGGGTATCAAAGTGATACTCACAAAAGTGAACGAGCAAATGTTGAAGTTATAAAACTAAATGGCAACATGAAGATTGAAATGGTGTGTACATTCCTGCAGTGTGGAACCTGTTCTAGAAGCAATTAGAAGCCTCTTGAGGGCGTAAGCCTAGAAGTGGCATGATCTGGTGTGAGTTGGCTGAAAATCACTGTGTCAACGGCGATCACCCTACATAGGAGCCTGCGTTGAGGTCCCCGAGGTCAGCGGGCCTTAGAGCACTTCCTCTTCGGAATGGGGATGTATGCAATGGAGAGGTGCTAACAGAATTCCACGTGGGGAAGAGGTGTGTCCCATCCAGGACAGACAGCCCAGGCACAAACACCCAGGGACTAGGCGGGCACAGAGACTAGCATGTCGAGGAACAGCAATCCTGCAGACCCTGGTCACCCCCCACTCCCCACACCCTGGGGGTGCTAGTGAAGGGGAAGGGAGGGAGGAGCCAGCTCCTGACCAGGGTGGGGGCACTTGGGCCCTGTTCAGGCAGCCTGGGACATGGGGCCAACAGCAGCCCGAGCCCCCAGTAGAGAGTTCAGCTTTGGGGCAGGGTGGAAGACAGGCAGGTGCTCTTGGGTGTTGTATGTGCCTGGGCTTCAGGGCCGGAGCTGACAGCATCCGAACATCCGGTGTCTGCAGGGTCTCAGTGATGCAGCCCCCACCCCCTGGCTATTGAGAGTCCCTATTTCAGAAGGACCCCCGCTCTGCACTTCTTGCCTGGCGGGGCCCATTTCCGTCCCCGTCTCCTGCCACACACACTAAGGTCGTTCTCTTCTCCACTGATGGGAAATCTGAGCGGGCTCGCGGGCAGACGCTAAGAGGTAAGATGGGGAAGTGACGTTTGCGAGCCCGGAGCTCCCCGATCGGCGCAGCGACCCCTACTGGCAGCCGCTACCGGGCGCACGGCCTGGGTGAGGAGCGGCGCCTTCCGGTGGGCTCGGGGGCACCTGTCGCCCAGCACCCACCGTTCCGGGAGTGGGGATGAGACTCCACCCAGATTAACCGCCCTTGTGGGCGGCACTTCCAGGAGCTCAGCCGCCCGGGAGATGGAGCCCCAGTGTCCCCGCCCTGCGCTTCCGCCTCCCGCCGGGGGGCAGGGGGCGCGGTCGCGGTTTGCGGCCGTGAAACCCCCTCCCCAAGCCCAGCGAGCTCCGACGGGCCCCTGGCTGGCAGTGGTGGTGCAGGAAGGAGCCTCAGGTCAAGGTCAAGAAGGACATTTACAACAAACAAGACAAACACCGAAGTTGAAAGAGACGGCCTTAGTAGTAAGGTGCCCCCACCTGCCTGGGCTGAGGCGGAGATCTCAGAGTGCAGTTCTCCACCGCCTCCCTTTTTCCTTCCAACTCGCATTTCTACTTCAATTCCCCCAGCAGATCTTATCCTAAGGTAACTCACAGACTTCGTGCTTAAGAATCTTTTATTCACTCCCATTCTCCTTATCTGCAACTGTTTCTATTTCTGTCTCTGTCTCTCCTCCCCTCTCTATACTATTTATGTTTATATATGTGTATATAGACAATACACACATATTTACACACGATATTTACTAAAGCAGTTGATGAAACATGAATGTTTCAAATTCAAAAAAATATTTATTGACAATAAACTCAAAATTTATTGGACATATACCCTCTACTCGGATGGGCACGCAGTTAGGGGAACTGTTGAAGGGGCCCTTTTTTGTTTGCCTGAGGCCAACGTCCACTGTCAGTCTGGACACTGGCAGGCAAGATTGGCAAGTGGGAGAAGGAAGGAAGTGTGAGAAGGGCCCAGGGCAGGAACTCTCTGGACACACTGCCCCTGGCTGACTGATTGGCGGTGTCACTGCCTGCAGAGCCTGAGGATCCGGAAATCCACTCCCTGAACGCCCCAGGCCCACATAACCCTGGAAAAGCCTTCCCTGCCCGTCCTGAGTCGCTAATGCTCTAACTGCAGGGTTGGGTTCTAGCCCTATTAGAGATCTGATAAGGCTGGGAGGAGTCACAGAACCAGAAGCCAGCCTGGTATAGGGGCGCATGGGGTTCTCCTCCCAGAGCCACACTTAAAATTCAACAGAGAGCACCACTGCAAAAAGTCTGTCATAGAACAGTCTAAAGATGGGCTCTCCCCACACATCTCAGACCCACTTCTCTAGCCATTCCCTGATCTTTAACTTCTTGCTTTGTCTTGAGAATTGTTGGTCTGCATTCTCTAGTGTTTGTAAGATTGTTGAACACACGTTCTAGCACTTCCTAGTTCTAATTAGACTCTCTCCTTAAAGGTGGAAGAACTGTCCCCAAAAACAAGCAGTAATTAGGGTGACAAAAGTAGCATTTTAGGGTGTGTGTGTGTATGTGTGTGTGTGTTATTCAGTGCTGAGTTTTGTTTGATTGTTTAATGGGGGAGGAAATGGAAACCAAGGACCCCAAAATGGTTTATAGTATCCCCCCATTTAATTTTTCGGCAACAGGGGTGACCCATGCAATTTACTTGCTGTCCCACAGGGTCCTTTGTTTTCCTGCGGTGTCTGCATTTCCATGGGCAGTCTGTTTCTTTGTTGTTGAGTCCCTTTAGAGCAGAAGGACTCAATCTTTTTGGTCTCCTGGTCCCTTTACACTTAAGAATTATTGAGAACCACCTAGAATTTTTATTAACAGGGGTTATATCTATACTTACTGTATTTTAAATCACAACTGAGGAATTTTAAAAGAATCATGTATTATTTCACTTAAAAATAATGATGAATTTGTTTCATGCTAACACCAATAACTTATTTTTATGAAAAAATCCATTTTGTGTTATCCAAAACAAAAAAAAAATAGTGAAAACAGTAGCATTATTTCACAGTTTTGCAAATCTTCGATACCTGGTTTAATAGAAGACAGCTGCATTCTCACAACTACTTCTGCATTCAGGGAGCTCCACCCCACGGTCTTGAGAGAACACATGAAAGGGCAAACAACATCAAGTGTCATTCCATGCGTGGTTTGACCTCACAGACCCCTCTGCAAGGATTAGGAACCCTCAGGGGTCCCAGACACACTATAAGAAACCCCCTCTCTGGATCGAGGAAGCCCAGCTCCAGTTAGTCAGGATTATTTTAGGATTCATCCACGTTGTCATGCACAAGTTATTATAACTGGAGAATTGTTTCTAATACCAAGACAGTGTAAACCTAAACGCATGGCAGTAGTAATGACTAAGAAACTTATGGTTTCCTAAGGCCAAATACTCTGCAGCCATCCAACGGAAAGTGAGAGGGAGGCTGTGCTCCCTGGAAGCAGGGCTGTTGTAATGCAGAGAACACAAAGTACAGAACAATGAGTACATTATGATCTTGTTCTGTGTATTTTTGAAAAGGAGAATAACATATGTATGACTGGAAAAGACACGAGAAACTACTTTAAATAATTGGTTACGTTTGGTGAGATGTAGAGACGGGAAGTATTTAATTTTTAAAAGTTTTCAATCTTCTGGCAGTGAGTAACCTATGGTGTTCCATGTGTTCGGTCCTTAGAGTAAGGGTGGCAAGAGGGGCTGTCTCAGGAATGGGGCTGTCCCATTTCTGCGCTCTCTGTGCTGTTTTGAGGACAGCAATCCGGCGTTTTTCTTTCGGTTGGCAGCAGGCCCTCAAAGCGAGCCAACCCCCGCTCCGCGCGGAGGCGTTTCCCCGCCTCACACCCCGCCCACGCCCCGCTCGCCCTTCCTATTGGTCGCGCGCCGGACCGCCCCGCCCAATCGCAGCGCTTAGCTCCAGAATTCGAATCTCCCTTTTCGTTTGAATCGGGTGGCGGGTGGCGGTTGGCGGTTGGCGGAGGCGGCGGCCAGCGAGCCGAAGCGGCAGGAGCCAAAGCCCGGCGTCCGGAGACGCAGCGGGCAGAGCCGCTGGTCAGCGTCGGGGGCGGCGGCGGGAGGAGCGGGGTCTGCGGGCCCGGGCGGGGCGAGCGCGGCCACGCGGGCGGCGTCCCAGGCTGCGAGGCTCGCGCGGCGGGCCTGGGGCGCGCGCGGCGGGCGACGCGGGGGGTCGCGGCGCCTGCCCCTGCTGCGGATTTGGGTGCGACGTGACGCAGGCGGTGGTTCGACTGGCGGCCGTGCGGGTGGACTCGCTCCAGGTGAGCTGCGGCCGGGGGATCCTGAGCTACCCGGAGCTGTTAGGGGACTCCTGGGTCGCGCGGGGCTCTCGGGGAGCCTGGGCCACGGGGACCCTCCCAGCTCTGAGGGAGCGGGCGGGGGCGCGGCCTGGCCCGGCGCGGCCTGGGCCCTCCCGGGGGTCGCGGTAGGAACTCCCGGGCGGCGCCGGCCCTGGTGACAGCGTCTTGGCCGCAGGACTCTGGGGCGCTGGCAGCGCCTGGGGGTGCAGCCCGGACGTGCGGGGGTTTCCGCGGGTCAGTCCGGTGCGGGCCTGGGCGGCGGGGCAGAGCGAATGGGACAGGCCGCCCCGTCCGGTCACTCTCCGGTCACCGTTTAGCGCCCTCCTTTCCCTGCAGAGCGACTTCCACCTCTTCTGCGGCGGAAGAGTTGTTGCAGATCTGGCCCTGCAAACCTCTGGACACCTGTCCTTCCTCCGTGGATATACTCAACACTTGTTTAGAGAATGGGGCCTTCGAGACGCCTCGTGACCATCAAAAGGAGCGGGGGCGACGGCCCCCACTTTCCCCTGAGCCTCAGCACCTGCTTGTTTGGAAGGTGAGCGCTGCGCCGGGGTTCTGGCTCAGAAAGACGGAAACGTCTCAACAGCAGTCCCCAGAAACAGGCTCTAGGGTTAGGTCCTGCGCTCAGATTTCCTTGGTATTTTCCCTGTACGATGTCAACGTAGTTGTTTATGTAGTTAAGTAGTTTTTTTAATCGAACAAAAATTTAAAAATTGATTTGGTATAAAGCTTTCCATGGAGAAAGAAGCAGGTGAGTAATTGGCTTCGGGTACCCTTTAGACGTCACTGTGTGCATCTGCCACCCTCCTCGCAGGGCGTGGCTGGCCACTCTGTTCGCTCTAAGAAGGAAGGAAAGAAGTTGTATACTTGGATTTTGGTTGTTTTTGGAAATACGATGATGGGAGGGAAAGTCCTCCTGCTTGTGTTTTGAGGACTTTTCCACTTCTGCTGCCTTCATGTTTGGTGGTGTCGTAACCCTGTCCCAGTAAGACAGGCACAATGACTGACAGCTCCCCCTATCGACCTCCAACATGTGTCCCTCTGGAGGTGTGAGAAGGTTGCCCTCCCTGTGTGGTCCCGCCCCTGAACCCCATTCTGGCCTCACCCCATCCTCCCAACATCACCTACCTTGTTCATTCCGCCTAAGGCATTCCAAGCTCTTGTTCACTTTGGGACTTTAACACAGTTGGACGTTTATGACTGGAAAGTTTACCCTACCCTCAAACGTGAGTGCTTTCTTTCCATCATCGAAGTGTCAGTTTAAAGGGCACCTCAAACTAAACCTTTCATGAAAGCTTGTCTTTCTAACAGCACAAGTTCAGGGATGAGTTTTTGGTTGCTTTCTCCCACTAGACTAACCTCCCCACAGGCAAGGACTATCTTGTTAATCATGGACACAGGACCAGGTATGGTGTCTGGCATATTATATGCGATCAATATCTAGCATTCTAGTAAGTGTTCGGTAGAAATATAGACTGGAAATGTAGATTTGCAATCAGTTGATAGCGGTGGTTCTCACAGGGCCATTTTACTTTCCAGAGGCATTTGAGAAGATCTGGAGATTTTTTTCTATGTCACAATAGAGGAGGGGCATGTACTATTATTAATATCACTGAGCAGAGGTCAGGGATGCTGCTAAGAATCCTACAATGCACAGAGCAGCCCCCCACAAAACCAAAGTGTCTGGTCCAAAATGGGAACAGTGCTGAGGCTAAGAAACACTCATCTGTATTGATTCTCAACCAAACTAATTCTCAGTTCTATAGAGATAGCCTTTCTTTTGCTGGGATATTCCGGCTATCTTAAAATCTAATTCTCTTTGTAGGGTTAAAGAAGCTGTTCATTTTCCATAGCTTCCTTCCTCTTCAAAAGAAAAAAAATAAACATTTGGGTCTCAAATTGCAATCATTTTGCTTTTTGTACAGTAGTACTTAAGTATATTTTTATGCAAGATTTTGTAATTTAGAAACTAATTCATAAGTGTTTGGTCACATGATATGGGTAGGAAGAGATATTCTTGGACTCCAAAGGTTCGTATGGAGAACAGACAGGCCATTGCACAGTTTGTTCAAACTTTTTAGGTCACAGAATGAGAAGAACACCAGAGACTCCGGGAACCTGCTAATGAACTCTTCTGTTAGTTTATGTGTAGGTTTAGGAATTATCCCTTCCTCTGCCTTGTCATGATGTTAGCTTTGTGTGGAAAGACAAGTTGAATCTAGATATTGCTTTTGTTGCTTGCAAATTAGTATTTTTAATGTTTGAAAACTGTCAGTTAACACTGTGTAGTTTTAAAACAACAATGAAAAAGTTCACTTGTAATGAGCATTTACTATGTGCCAGGCAAATGAGTGACATATACAACTCATTTAATTTTTTGAACAACACCATGATGGAGGTGCTAATGTAACCTCTTTTTTGTATATGAAGAAACTGAGGCAGAGGTGCTATCATAAAATACAGCACATTTGGGGATGATTATGATTAAATCTTTAAATATGTAAAACATTACAAACAAGTGTAAACTTTTTTTAAAGCACAGTATTAAAAATAGTCATTTGCCAAAATTGATATAAGTACTTCTTTGTGTCTTTTAAGTATAAGCTGTTTATATAAAAGATATTTGTATTCTAGCATTTTCTTTTATATTTTTATGTACTCTAAGTTTTAAATATCTAAAATAGTTGTAATACTTCCAAAAATTATTTGCAAAATACAAATGTTATTTACATTGCCTATTTTGTTTTGTTATTCCTTTATGTCATTACATTTACAGATCAAACATACTAGTCAAATTCTGTTTGATTTGGAGAAATTGAGGTAATTTTTTTAAAAGTTGCAAGAACCAAAAAAAAAATCTTAATTCTTTTGCATTAAGGGGTATCGAATGTGACATCCGTATCCAGCTTCCTGTTGTGTCAAAACAACATTGCAAAATTGAAACCAATGAGCAGGAGGTAAGTGGGTTTTTAGAAGTCAATTTTAAAAACTTTTTAGTTTATTGTTTATTCATTAATTGCATATTTTCCCTCTTCTTTCCACTTGTAGGCAATATTATATAATTTCAGCTCCACAAATCCTACACAAGTAAATGGGTCTGCTATTGATAAGCCTGTACAACTAAAACATGGAGATATAATAACTATTATTGATCGATCTTTCAGGTAGGTAAAAACTCATTTCGCTAACAATGAGGGGCAACTTCTGATTTACCATAAACTAGTCTCACAGTTCAGCAGTGATCCTTCTTGAATGTTGATGAATGTCAAAATGTTTCATGTTTTCATTTGTAATGCTAGTCTTAAATTAAAAGCATGTGGATCTAGAAGGATGACAAATGGGGCTCAAATCTGATAGAATCCAAGGATTTGAGTGCATAGAATTATGTAAAAGAAAGGTGACCTTGCCCTAAAGAAGTTTGTTATTTCCTTGTGAGTGTTGTGAAACTGCATGAGATTTTTAGTTTCTTTTTTATTTTAAAACAAAATAGACTCGTAGAGAAAGGTACAAAACAAGATGTATAGGTCAATTTATCATGATGTGAACACGCTGTGAGTACCACCTGTTAGGGACTGAATTGTACTCTCCCAAAATTCATGTTTTGAATCCTTAACCCCTAGTGTCTTAGAATGTGACTGTATTTGGAGAGAGGACACTTAAAGAGGCAGTGAAGTTAAACTAAGGTCATTATTGTGGGCCCTAATCCAACGACCAGTGTCATTATAATAAGAGGAGATTAGGACACCAGAGACACCAAGGGAGCAGGTGCCTAGAGGAGAGACCATGTGAAGAGGCTGCGGGAGGGCCCATCTGCAAGACCAGGAGAGAGGTGCAGAGGAATCCAGCCCTTGATCTTGGACTTCAGCCTCCTGAACTGTGAGAAGTAAATTTCTGTTGTTTCAGGCACAGTCTGCAGTATTTTATGATGGCAGCCCTAGCAAACTAATACATCGCCAGCTCATAAAGAATTATTTCCAGAAGTTTTTCTCATGTTGTCATCTAATCACTACTTCTTTCCCTCACCAAGTAAACCACCATTGTGGCTTTTATGAGAATTTTACCACCTAAGCATGTATCTCTAAACACTGTAGTTTTGTCTGTCTTTTTGAAACACCTTAACGGTGAATTAATAATGTACATATTTATGTCTAACTTCTGCTCTTATGCATGTGGGATTCATAGCATGTTGGATGTTTTTATAGTTCACTGCATATGTGTTACATTGAAAAAATATGTACAATATATACAATAATATACATAATTATACAGAATCCATTTGCTCTGGCTGGACATTTGGCTAATTTTTAGTTTTTGAAATGTGTCAAGGCTTGCTTTATAATCAGATGTAGTTAAATTTTTTACTAATTTGTTCTTTATACTTGAAAACAGTATATGTTCTATAGCTACCAGATTCAGTGCTCTATCTACATATGCCCATTAGAGTCAAATCTTGTATATTCTTAGTAATTGCTCTCAGAGATACATTGAAATCACCAACTGAGGATTTATTTTTCTTTTTTTCTCTATCAGTTTTTGCTTTATATATTTTGAGGCTATCCCATGGCATACAAATTTAGAATTATGTCCTCCTAGTGCATAGAACTCTGTCATTTAGAAATGTCCTCTGCCTTTAGTAATGCTTTCTGCCTTAATGTTTCTTCTGGATGATAAATATAGCTAAACTAATTTCTTTTTGATTTGAGCTTGCATAGTATAACTTTTTCCATCCCCTGAATTTCAACTTTTCCTAATTCTTATGGTTTAAGTTGTCTCCTGGAACCCACTGTCAGGTGAATTTTTTAATCCATTCTGCTAAATGGATCTCTGCCTCCGTTACTGCCTTCATTTGTATTAAGTAGATATTTCCTAATCACCACTTAAATTCCCTGGACATTTCTTTTACTGTATTTCTTGGAAGTTTGTCTTCATTTTTAAAGGATATTTTTTATTGAATATAGACTTCTAGGTAGGAAGTATTTGATGTGGAATGGAGACCTGAATTATTATACCTCCCCAAAACAAGATACTGTTCAAACTGAGATCAATTGATATGATTAAAGACCTCCAGCAAAGATTAAAAGATGGATTTTAAAAAGGACTTGATTCAGCACTCTGCTTACCATGAGAAATGTTCCAGGTGCCTGACTGCTTCAGGTCTTACTTTGGTCACATCTAAATTGAAATCAGGTCATTGCTGAGGTTGAAAAGTTTTCATTATGCAAAATAAAGGATTGCTTCTATGAACTGATCACTGAGATCTGTCAGAACAATTGTGTATCTTACTAAATGTAGTCTTTCTGAGATATGCCTGTCTTGTTCAGACAGGGATTGAGTAAGTGGGAAACTGGAGTGATCACAGTGTTCTGATATATAGCTTTACAGTTACCCTAAAGTATATAACTTCACAATGTGATTAAGAGTCAGTTGCCTGCAGGCTTCCTGGTTGACTTTCCAAGCTATCAGATGACTTCGAAGCATCGACATCAACTAGAGAAAATCTGATTTCAATTTCATATGCATCAGTTTTGCACATAGACAATGCTCAGGAATATGGTTGAATCATATCCAGGCTAGTCAGTAATCAGAAGTTAATTGGTCCCCATCTCTTGGCAATGGTGTTTCAAAACTAACCTGATGCATCTTATCTAAGTGTTTAATGTAAAAACATTTTTCTAACTCTAAATTTATTTCTTTGTATAAGGTAATATTTTGAACAAAGCCTGAAGTTTGTTCCTTGATCCTTGGACATAACCCGATATAGAGACTTCAGTTCCTAGGGTACAAAGCTTTAACCTGGATCTGTGTCTGTCATTCTGTACACTGCAGGTATGAAAATGAAAATTGCCAGAATGGAAACAAATCAACTAGATTTCCAGGAAAAATACCAGAACAGGTAATGGTTAATATTTTTTAAGTTTGGGCTGTGATTCTTTTTGATGAATGATTTCTCACTTCAAACCAGTGAAAAAGGAGAATGGCTTACTGGTTATAGCAGGAAAATATAACTAAAGTATTAAAACAAGTTGAATTTAGATATATTAAAATAATCTAAAGCTATATTTCCTCTTTATTCTTCAAAATGAAAATACTAAGCCCGTCTTACACTTTTGGTCAAATAGTCTACTAGAGTATTTCATGATCTCATCTTCTGGCAAGCCTATGGTTAGGACAACTCCAACATATAGAACTAAAATTCAGAAACTATATTATCTGGCAGTTCATTTTGTCTCCCAGTCATTGTACCCATACATCTTTATGCATCTGAAATAATCATGTTATAAAAATTATGAGTGGCAAAGATGCTTCCTGATTTTGATAGACAGATGACTTATAAAACTAGAAGAGAGTTCCTCTACTTTGTCCTATGAGAAAATCCTGTAGCTTAAATACATCAGTGCCAAACAGGTATTCCAGTGGTACCGCTTATTTAAAACATAATTGTGGGCATGTGCCTGGGGATTTAGTGGGATTAGTAGATTTAGGATAAGTTCTGAGAATTCCTACTTTCCTATGTTTTAGGTTGCTTCTCAAGCTAGTTTCATACGAGCTTGTTGGAATTTTTGGGCTTAGGAGACTTATCCTAGGTGCACCTGAAATTAGCAATAGGGCACTTGAATTTCAGCATCTCTGCCCTGTTAAGTGTTGCCTCTTCCTTATAGGAGCAACGTTACTGTTGAGCCTGGTGTTCATAAGTTCCTGTGGTGAAAGCTAGTTTCTGAGGTACCCCACGCAGTCACCATGTAACTTGTTAGTAGGTGAAAGTAAATACCAAAAAGCTCATTGAACTGTGGATTAGACATGTGCACTCAACAGTCCCCAACTGTTTGTTTTGTTACGAGTCTATGATAAAATAGGTATTAAAATTGAGTATACAGGAAATGTTATAGCAATTTGAAATGTAGGATTATATATTTTATGTATTTTTAATTTTATTAGGAGTTCATTTATATTATTTAGTCATAAGATTCTTGGTCCACTTCCGATTGGAAATAAAAAGCTCTCCCCTCACATAGATAGTTTTAGAAGCAAGGTGTTAGATATCAAAAAATTTGAAATCAATTAACTAAAGAAATTAAATTCTTTGGCTTTGGTAATATTTCTTGGATTTTTTTCTTAATAATCCAGATGATATAATTTTCCTCCTTTGGAACATCAAACTTTTATATCTTATAGTGTGGTTTAGTTCTTCCACCCCTCCAGAAATTCCACATAAACGAAGTGCAGGCACTATTTACTGGGGGTGAGTGGTGGTGCTGGGTCCAATTCCCAAGCTCTGGGGCGGCAGTGCCTGTGGCTGCACTGTTTCTGCTGTGCCTTAACTTCTAGGCCCTCAGATGTACCCTAATTATCTGGCTGCCAAAAGGGCACACGTGCTAAGTGGAGACTCCATTCACTGACAGGTCCTGTGGCCCATATCTGTTAAAATTGATTCTGAAGTCAAGAATTCTGTGCCTATGGTGGGTTACAGGTCTTCAGTGTAGGTGATGTTTAATTTTGGTTCTTCTTCCATATGATGGGAAATAACTAAGGAAGTTATAAAAGCTCATTGAGGTTTGATTTCAGTAATTTTTAAGCCTAGAATTTGTTTCCTATTAGATCACTTACTATATTTTTTTGAAAGTCAGCTAAGAAGTACTTACATCATGACCACTAGCTCCCAAATGACTTGGGTCCATTTCTCAAGTAAAATCTCTAAAAGTCACATGAGAGAAGTTTGGTAAAGGAAACAGTCAACAAGAAGAATATTTTTGTTTGTTATGACTGTTACTATTTAGAAGACATTTAAGTCACCATTCTTATTTTCCCAATTTATAGGGACCATCACGCCGTGTGTCAAGATCTAGCTTCTCTTCTGACCCTGGTGAGTAGTAGTTTGGTTTTATTCAGGATCCTGAAAGATCAGGTGTTTGTGAAACGATGGCAAGGAAGGGACAATAAGAATGCAAGTGTTCAATATGTCATCTGTTGAAAATCTAAGAGGTGTCATTTGATATGTGAAAAATAGGCAGATTCCTAAATTAAGTTTTTCCCTTAGTGATTGCTGGGGTACTGTGCTTAGGGGAGAGTCCAGTATAAGAAAATTGCTTGTTCAGTTGTCAACTCAATTCTCAGTAGTTTGATAGCATATATGATATTTCTTTTGTACTGGTTATCGGAGACTAATGTGGTTTATTTATTTGGATCGTAATAGTAGATTCATTATTTAGGCATTCATTATTTAATGCCTAAAATTTGTATTTCTTAAGTGAAAAGCTAGGTTATAAGATAATTTGAAACAATTAAAATATTAAATTCCAATATTAATCATTGAGAAAATGTTGAACTTCTGTTTCTTATTTTATATTATTCATTGCCAAGATGGGGAAGACCAAGATTCCAAAGCCCATCCAAAAATCACTGCAGGAAATGTTTCAGGAAGGCCTCTGGTCCATGTCAAGAGTGTCAGAAGAGACAGTTCTACCTCAGGTGGCTCAAAAGACAATGTTGCCCAGGAAACCCCTAATGTTCATTCCTCAGAACGTCCTGGACATAATGGCAGAAATGCAAGTGATCCCACTTCTGGGGATGTTAAAGAAAATTCCAGGGCACAATTAGTGAGCTGTTATGGAGAATTGAAGTCTTTTTCCTCTACACAATGTCTTGACGGTAGCAAAAAAAATGATTCTCCCTTTAGGGAGCTTTATCAGTCAATGAAGGAAGAGTTGAAGGTTAAATCACAAAAAGAAAATGTTTTACAATATCACAGAAAATCAAGATCACAAACTGATTACACAACAGAAAAAGAGAGTGGTAATGGTTTACAGAAGGAGACCCAACTATTGGTCTCAGCTCAACCGAGACAGAAATCTGGCAGAAGCACCCCCAGTAAGGCAGCCCCTTCTTCCCCTGAACTAGATCCTGGCCGGAGGGAGGGAAAAAGAAGTGAAACGGAGTCTGTTCCAACTTCCAAAGAGGCCGTGGGTTCCAGCATTCCTTTCTCTGACACAACTAAAATGAAGACGCCAAGACGATATTCACGACAACTAAATTCTTCTCAGAAACGTAAGAGTGAAGACCTGTATGTTCTTAGTGGAAGAACATCTGTGAATCTGGGTAACACTGAAGACTTCAAGGCAGATAATAAAACATTTACTCCTAGGAAGCTTTTAACTAGAAATCAAACACCAACTAAAGTTGAAGATGCTGCCAACTCTGCTGATAAACCAGGAAATGTCTCTTCCAAAAACAGGAGGAGTATTCCTACAAATGCGCGAGTTCTGCCTACAGAAACAGAAATTCAGAATGAGCCTCTTTTAACTCTATGGCTCACTGAAGTTGAAAGGAAGATTCAAAAGGATTCTCTCCACAAGGCTGAGAAATTGGACACTACAGCTGGACAGATTTGCTCTGGTTTCACTGGTCTTAGTTCAGTTGATATCAGCAACTTTGGTGATTTCATTAGTAAGTTTATTTAACTGTGAATTTATTTTTCATAAAAGAATAACACCTACCTTATATTTAGACAGGAATTAATGAGACTATCTTGCAATCAGTAATGACTATCTTTGTGATGGGTAATCTAAGCACCTAGGATAAATGGTGAGACAGGCATGTCCATTGTTTTCATTGACAGATGAATACTGAAGGCCTGGGTAATTGTAACAAGGAATGAGAGGGGAGGTGCAGGTTGTCAGGCTAGTTAAGGAGATAGGGTAGTTGAAGAGCATATCTGATTCTCCTTTTCCATCTATCACAAAACAGAAAGGAGTATAATCATAATTGCTTTCACATTGGGTTTAATTCTGAACTACAATTAACTATATCATATGAATTTGGTCATTTGGAGTAAATCACTGGAAATCCCTTGGAAATCGTAGAACATAGTAGTTGTCAGGTATTTATATGCTGTTCTCAGAGTCTCCTACAGGAAATTAGGTATCAACACTGGACCATACCAAGGGATTATAAATGCCAGGCACATGTCTACGTGCTTCCCAGACATCAACAGCTTTGACCGTCAGTACATTCCCAGTGTCGGTGGGTCAGTTTCCTTTTTATCTCTGTGTTGTAAATGAGGAAACTGACGACCCAGGGTCAGTGTGGCAGCTTCTTGGCATCTTCCTAAACTTTTCAAGGTTGGCTTATAGAAAGAAAGAAAATATCTCTAGACATTCTGTGGCAATAATCTTAATATCAGGACTCTATTTCTGCAGATGGCCCGTAGTGTTGGGGTATGTGGGTATCTATAAAATGGGACCTGGAATGTCAGTCCATGCTCCACTGAGTCTCACAGAGGGGTGTGGCATCTCTTAGATAAGGGATTTACAACAGTAGTGCTTCAGGAAGATGCATGGTGGGGGTGGGTCTCATGAGTTGACTGTCAGAATCACCTGGAGTTTTCACAGCTCACATTCTCCTTACTAGGTAGGTCTGGGTGAGGCCCAAGTACATGTCTTTTTCGAAAGTTCTCTCAGGCCATCGTGCCCCGCCCCACCCACACCACACACATGCACACTTTAAAGTGAAAGCTACCGTTGCAGACTGATCACTTTCTTAAGCTATGTCCATGTGTAATTTTCCAATGTTTTAAAGAAAATTTCTGTACTGTCCAGTTGTACCTGATGTCTAGTGGTCTCTCCTGAGATCTGCCAGGGACTTTTGAAGCAGCTTTAGCTTCATTAATATTGCAAGAGAATGAAGGTGTGCTATGGGTGTTCGTTTTTTTTTTTTTTTTTTTTTTTTTACTGTTATTTGCATTTATTTTATGTTGCATGTATTCCCGTGCCATAAGTTTTTGTTTCTTCAGTTTCTTCTGGGATATCTTTTCTTCTGTGCAACCTCCTCTTCTGGTTTTGGAACAATTTGTTCCTTTTCAATGAGGATCATCTCGATGTGGCAGGGGGAGCTCATGTATGGATTAATCCGACCACGAGCTCTGTAAATTCGGCGACGCATCTTGGGTGCTTTGTTCACCTGGATACGCTCAATGACTAGAGAATCTACATCCACACCCTTAAGTTCAGCATTACTCTCTGCATTTTTAAGCATGTGCAGCAAAAATTCAGCACTCTTTTTGGGCCACTGACCCTGTGTCCAGCCCCACTCTTTGGCCTGGGCACACCTACCAACTCCACCGTTGTAACGTCGGAATGGCACACACTGTTTCTTTAAAGTGACATCTTTCAGATACTTGGTGGCTTTTCATATATGCATACCCTTGATGGCCTGGGCAGTTTCACGAGTGTTCTTGAAGTGAACATGAAGAGTTGAACCTCTTGACTTGCATGATTTTGTGGGGTTTTCTGGGTCAAGTGAATAGCGAACCATTTTCACAGATCACCTCAGGCTGCTTGAGGGCAAGAGCAGGTGTTCGTTTTTAATGAACTTTCGACTGGTTCATCTTTAGTACGAATGTGAAATATACTGTAAGTCTTGGCATAGTTTTTTCATTGCTCTTTCCACATTTGTATTCATTACTCCAGATAAGAGTGAGGGAGGGCCTTTGAAAAGAAGGCGTGTGTCCTTTGGTGGTCGTCTAAGACCGGAATTGTTTGATGAAAACCTGCCTCCTAATACACCTCTCAAAAGAGGAGAAACACCAACGAAAAGAAAGTCTCTGGTCGCTCACACCCCAACTGTCCTGAAGAAAATCATTAAGGTGAGTTTAATAATTAGCGTTCCCATTCCTGCCGGATGGCTCACTCACGTGGGTACATACTCCTGCCAAAGTTCTGACGCAAGTAGAATTACAATTAAGACCCTTATTTTTTTAATAATTAAGATTTTTAAGAGACTAAATGAAAGCTCATTTATTTGGATGCTGGAGAAGGAGCATCTGGGTCCCTCACTGTGGTTCTGAGGCGGCTGAGCAGGGCGTCCTCCGCACTTTCCCTGCAGGGCAGAGGTCTCCCACACCCATGCATACAGCCCCACACAGTCGCCCTGCGGTTACAGTAAAAACGGCAAATTAAAAAGATTCTGAAGACATCACCACATATAACCATAAGGATGGTTTTATTTTCTTTAGAGTCATAAGGTTATAGTTAAGGCATTTAACTGGGGAAAAGGAAAATCATTGGTGGTAAAACATGTATCTTTGACACAGTCAGCTTTTTAGAACTCAATCACCTTTTCCTACACTGTGCTGTCCCCCTTTTTAGATCACAGGAAAGGAATGGCCCTGTAGCCCATCTTCAAAACAGGGCCCAGGCAGTCTTTGTTTTCTTGTCTTACCAACAGGAAGGAAAGCAATACCTGTTGCCCTTTGCATTTGGCGCTGACTCCCCAAGGAGAGCGGCTCTCCTTTCATACAGACCGCAGGGGCCTGGGCACCCAGCTGCTGTTTGCAGGACAGATCAGAGCAGGCCTGTCTCACTGGTCAGGCCTTTCCTTCAGTCCTTCTTCCTAAATATCTCAACTCGGACTTGTTTGCTGTTATTTCACTTTTCTTTCCCTTAAATGACTAGGGCGGTCTTACCTCTACCTTAGTCTTGAAAGACAATAGTTTAAACATTTGATACTTTAATATTTAAACAGCTGAAATTCTTAATTAAAGAGGTTTCTAATATTTATTGTGGAGATGTTACATCCTTGGTATGGTTTCTCATGACCATTTCTGTCTTGTCAGGAACAGCCTCAACCATCAAACAAAGAGTCTGCTTCCGAAATCCATGTGGAAATGATGGCACAAAACGTGTTTGTGAGCTCTCCAGTTCCTAGTCCTAGGACCACTCCGGTTGCTGGTGCACAAAGCCGTAGGTCATGCAGAGCATCCTCCACTTCGAGTGGCAGCAAATCTCAGGTAGATATTCCTAAGAGAGGAGGGAGAAAGAGTGGCAACCTGCCATCAAAGAGAATTTCCATCAGCCGAAGTCAACATGATATTTTACAGATGATTTGTTCCAAAAGAAGGAGTGGTGCTTCTGAAGCCAATTTAATTGGTTAGTATTGTATTGGCAAATATATATTAAGGTGAATTTTCTCATTAATTAGTTTTCGAAAAGTTTCATCATCTTTTCTCTTTGACAGTTGCAAAATCGTGGGCCGATGTAGTAAAACTTGGCGTGAAACAAACACAAACTAAAGTTGTAAAACATGGCCCTCAAAGGCCAAAGAACAAAAAACAAAGAAGACCCAACACTCCGAAGGTATGAGGCTCCACTGTGAATTGCATGTTTGCACATGCTGATATTGTTTAAGATTGCATGACCTGTGTATTTATGCTTTGATGTTTTGTTCATCTCCTTCCTGTTTTCTACAGAAGCCTGTGGACGATGCTCACAATCAGTTTAGTACCGGCCATGCAAACTCTCCTTGCACCATAATAATAGGGAAAGCTCATACTGAAAAAGTAAATGTGCCTGCTCAGCCCTACAGAATGCTGAACAACTTTGTTTCCAACCAAAAGATGGACTTTAAGGAAAATCTTTCAGGTAAAAACAGCCTCAGCTCTTATAAATCATAACCCTTTGGGTCCTACTATTTTTTACTTTGTGAATATTTGTTTTGCTACCTTTTGTTTAATCTGCTGTGAGCACGATGATGGATAAACAATTGAGTCAACTTTCTGGGGTCATAGTATTCAAGGAAGACAAAGCTGGTTTGGATTATGCGGACAGTTCTCTGACAGTTTTTGGGATCAGGTGTCCTGCATGAAGTAGGCATGGAAACGTCAAATGCTTATCTTTACCCTAGAGAGCAGCCTGCCTATAGAAAACTGGAAAGTGATTTATAGTAAAGAAAGGCAGCTTATTCTTAAAACTGCTCCTCTCCCAACAGCTATACTAATAGTTTATTGCAGACATGGATCAATTGTTTTTGAGTAATATTTTACTTTCTCAAGATTTACTTTTTTTCTGGGTAGTTTAACTGTTTCTTAAAAGAAAGCCCTAGGAAGAGGTTCCCTTAAACAATTAATAGTTGAGCAAATGTTTCCACTCAATTTCCACTGTCAGTAAAAGTGTGGGCTGACTTGCTTAATGTCATAGCATTTATGAATGACACCAAGAGAGTAGATTTTAGGTTTCAAGGGGTATAATTTGTCCAGTGGTTCCCACTTGTGTACACCTTGGAAAGGAAGTGAGATTTGAACTGAATAGGTGGAATCTTATTTTTATTTCCTGTCAGGTTATGAGTTGAAAAAATTGTTATACTCTTCAGTATAATGCATGCAAGTTACCCTCTAATTAAAGTCATAGTTGGATTAATTCATTTATCTTTTGTAAAAGAATGTAACAACAGCAGAAAACCCAACAAGACTAAAAAAAAAAAAAGTAGATAGACTTATATACATGTATTCTTACAGATTATGAACATGTAGAATGTACTAATATATATGTTACAAAATGTTCAAAACAAACCCTCAAAAATACTTTTAAGAAAAAATGAAATGTTAAATAGTCTGTGCCTGGGATCGTGGGTTGCTTCAAGCATTCCTTCTAAGATGCTTCCCTAGTGTCAAACAATTCTCTCCTTTCACTGTGAGTCAATTTCATTACAAAACATTATTGTCTGCTGACGACTAAATCCTGGGCATTTTAAGTTCAACTCGGAAGGCTATAGAAGGAGGAGATTTTTAAGTGAAGGGAGTGTTCTGGAAGGGAGTCCTCAGAACAGACTTCCCAAACACGCTGGTGGGTGACTGCCAGATAGAAATGGTGTTGTCATCCACTGACTCGAAAATGATAGAAGTAAGGAGAATGTGGGGTTATGTGAGTTTTTCAAAAAGTTACACCTTCTATATAAAGTACTATATTATTCTTTTTTTTTTTTTTTTTTTTTTTTTTTTTTTTTTTTTTTGAGACAGAGTCTCACTCTGTTGCCTGGGCTAGAGTGAGTGCCGTGACATCAGCCTAGCTCACAGCAACCTCAAACTCCTGGGCTCAAGCGATCCTCCTGCCTCAGCCTCCCGAGTAGCTGGGACTACAGGCATGTGCCACCATACCCGGCTAATTTTTTCTATATATATATTTTTAGTTGTCCAGATCATTTCTTTCTATTTTTTAGTAGAGACGGGGTCTCGCTCTTGCTCAGGCTGGTCTCGAACCCCTGACCTTGAGCGATCCACCCGCCTTGGCCTCCCAAAGTGCTAGGATTACAGGTGTGAGCCACCGCACCCGGCCGATATTAGATTTTTTAAAAATACATGTCATTACTTGACAGCACTGAAAATGGGCAGTCTCTGTCATTTTGTGAAATGTGGGTGCATGTTATTTGTACCCAAAATCTAGAACCGAGAAACCCAAGAGTTTCAGAAAATAGCATGAAGGCACTTGGCTTCCGGATCCTGGAGGGGAGGCCCTCTAGGATAGGAGCTGTGACCAGAACTCATGTCTGCAAGACCACAGAGGTCAGCTAACTTCATTTATTTCCAAGAAAAGCAAAGAAAAGAGCATAATATATCTTCTCTTTGCTCTCATTTGACAAAATGAGTCCACTATTAATGGAATCACCCTTTTAATGAGATCCTGTATACCAGGAATTCTAGGGAAGGATCTGTTGTTATTTCTCATAATCTGCTTGTTGTATATAAGGACTGGGGTGGTTGTTTGCATGTATAAGCAATATGTCAATTGTTTTTCAAATATTTTCATTCAACAGGATTAAGTGAAATGTTTAAGACACCAGTGAAGGAGAAGTCACAATTGATGAGCTCTGGTCCTGTCACTCTTTCAAGTTCAGAGAATTTGCTCGGAAAAAATTTTCAAGTAACTAATTCAGCAGAAGAACCTCTGCTACGTACTTCAGAGAGTTTTGGTTGGTTTCCTTGTTTTCCTAGACTGTGATGTGTTTGGATAGAAGCTTGTAGATGGTATTTTTTTGGTATTACTTTTCTAAAACAGATGTTCCTGTTAAAGTACCATTCCATCTTCTCTGTTCTTTTTTTGAAGGGGAGATTCCCATCAGCAGTTCAACTAACCTTGGCATTCACTGACTTACAGAGAAAGACTGACTCAGTCAATAAGTTTAAATGATCTGTGTACACTTTTGGCTTCTTTATTTATTATAAATAAAGAGGGTGATATAGCAGAAAAGTACAATGGTTTCTCATACTTACATATAAAATACTCAAATTCAAAATTACTGTAAATTACAAAAAAGAAAGATAACATTTTGTGTACTATGCAGTTATTTCTGCTAGTCTTCTAAGTGGGAGCAGGCCCAGGGTGAGTGTGAGATCGGAGAGGGGAACCTGTCTTCCTCTTTTATTTGGTGCTGGTCACTGGCTTCCTCTCATGGAGGGAACAGCTTGCTACCCTGCAGATGCTTATTGTAGTTAAATATTGCCGGTGTAATAAGGACCCTAACCATACCAAAGTATAAGCCATGTTATTTCATTGGTGGTTCGGGTAAGAAACAGCTGTCTGTTTCTAATGTTTGAAGAAAAAAATGGCTGTATTCAGGTCAAGGACACATGGCATGGCAATCTTCGGAGGATCCTTCTTTAGGAATTTTTTCCATTATATAATCAGTACAGAGCCTGACAACCCCACTATATCACCAAATAACATACTCTTAAGTGTTCATAGCTCTTGTGTAAGATAGATTTCTAGCCACATAAGTAGCCTCATGTCCTCAGGGAGATATGAAGCTGAATATTTGGTTGTCATACTGTCTTTCATGAGGATAAGATACTAAATTGGTATAAGACAGGGAGCGGAATATATTTCTTGTATATTTTATTCTTTCTCACAGGAGAAAATGTGCTCTTGAGTACTTGGAATGCAGCAAAAGAACCTGATACACACTCTGCAACCCCTGCCTTACAGCGGCAGTGTGTAAAAGAAAATGAAACTCTAGTGAAAACTCCAAAGAACATCTATACAGCGACTCCTGTTGAGATGAAAACTTCAGATACTGAGACAGAGCCTTCAAAGACAGTATCCAGTGCAAATACATTAAGAAGGTCCATGGAGCTCAGAAATCCGCAGAAGCTCCCTATAGACAGTAAGAATGAAGACACAAAAACTGACACTGTCGAGGACATCATGGGCAAATGTCTGAGGAGGCCACCACTACGAGAAAAGAAAATAGAAGGAGAGATGAAGGAAACTGAAAGACCTTTTGAAACATATAAGGAAATTATCGAGTCAAAAGAAAATTCCGAAATGATGGCAGATGGGAGGGCATCAAGAAGAACTTGGGGACATAAAAGTGAGCCAGCTTCCAACCCAGCAGGTCTCAAGAGGTGGCCCGAAATGGCACCCATGAAGGACATGACAGACACCCAAGATCTCCAAACACCAGGTCTCACCAGGGAACCAAGGAATGAGAAGGATAAGACCACTAAACTATATCAGAGATCTTTACAAGCAGAGCCAGTCAACACTCCCACAAACATGAACAGACAGCTCAGGACATCTCTGGGGAAAGTGGATGTGAAAGAAGAGCTCTCAGCAGTCGGCAGGCTCACACGAACACCAGAGCAAACCGTGCACACACACAAAGAACCAGTGCCTCAAGGAAAAGGCACCAAAATGTTTCAGGAAACTCCACGGCAAAAAGCAGACTCAGAAAACTCTGTAACTGGAGTGAAGAGATGGCCAAGAGCAGCTAAGGAAGAGGTCCAACCCCCAGAAGCTCTGTCTGGCTTCAAAGAACTCTTCCAAACACCAAAACGCAATGACAAGCCCACAATAGAGGACAAAACTACTAAAATATGCAGCAAATCTTTACAATCAGAACCAGTGAACACTCCAACAAGGACAAAAAGACAACCCAGGACACCTTTGGGGAAAATAGCTACAGAGGAAGATCTGGCTGCATTGAGGAAGCTCTCGCAAACGCCAGGGGAAGCCACACACACCCCCAAGGTACTGGGTGAGGAAAAAGGCATCAAAGCGTTTAAGCAATCTGCAGAGCAGAAACTGGACCCAGCAGCAAGTGTAACTGGCAGTAGGAAGAGGCCAAGAGCAGCTAAGGAAGAGGCCCAGCCCCTAGAAGACCTGTCTGGCTTCAAAGAGCTCTTCCAAACACCAAAATACCATGACAAGCCCACAGGTAAGGATAAAACTACTAAAATACCCTGCACATCTCCGCAACCAGAGCCAGTGAACACTCCAACAAATGTGAAAAGACAGCCCAAGACACCTTTGGGGAAAATGAATGTAGAGGAAGAGCTGTCTGCACCGAGGAAGCTCTCACAAACAGCAGGGGAACCCACACACACACCCAAGGTACGAGGTGAGGACAAAGGTATCAGAGCATTCAAGGAATCTGCAGAGCAGAAACCAGGCCTGGCAGCAAGTGTAACTGGCAGCAAGAGAAGGCCAAGAGCAGCTGAGGAAGAGGCCCAGCCCCTAGAAGACCTGGCTGGCTTCAAAGAGCTCTTCCAAACACCAGGTCACACTGAGAAGTCAATGACTGATGGCAAAATCACTAGACTACCTTGCGCATCTCCACAACCAGGACCAGTGGCCACCCCAGTAAGCAGGAAGAGACAGCCCAACACAAGTCTCAGGAAAGCAGATGTGGAGGAAGAATTTTTAGTACTAAGGAAGCTAACGCCATTATCAGGCAAAGCCATGCACACACCCAAACCACCGATAGATGATGAAAAAGGCAGCAGAGCCTTTATGGGGACTCCAAAGCAGAGACGGGACCTGGCAGAAGATTTAACTGGACACAACAGGAAGCGAAGAACCCCTAAGGAAGAGGCCCAGCCCCTAGAAGACCTGTCTGGCTTCAAAAAGCTGTTCCAAACACCAGGCCACACTGAGCAACCAATGA